GCCCCACCTTGCATGGTTGCCCCATTTCTCCTCTGTGGGTACTTCATGGTACGATTCAGTCCCTCATGATTGTTGTTCCAGGATGGTCCCAACCGGACAGGGACAACCCGTGCTCTGGACTGTGGGGCAGGCATCGGCCGGATCACCAAGCGGCTGCTGCTGCCCCTCTTCAAGACAGTGGACATGGTGGACGTGACAGAGGACTTCCTCACCAAGGCCAAGAGCTACCTGGGAGAGGAGGGCAGGCGGGTGCGCAACTACTTCTGCTGCGGTCTTCAAGACTTCAGCCCTGAGCCCAACTCTTACGATGTCATCTGGATCCAGTGGGTCATTGGTGAGAGTCACTTTACTTGTGGGGTGGTCACACCTGCCTCTCCTCCAACCATCTTCCCCCGAGGGGCAGGTTCCCCACACACTGGGGAGAGCTTTGGGCAGAAGATCTTGAGGTCTGCATGAAGAATGAGCATGGGTGGGGCACTTTACTTGTGGGGTGGTCACACCTGCCTCTCCTCCAACCATCTTCCCCCGAGGGGCAGGTTCCCCACACACTGGGGAGAGCTTTGGGCAGAAGATCTTGAGGTCTGCATGAAGAATGAGCATGGGTGGAGGCTGGGTTGGGGACCTGCCTTCTGTGGGGCATAGTACTGTGGGGTCTCTTCCACCAAGCCCTTGGAGGCCAGGACGGAGGAGTGGGTTGGAGAGAGTTGGATAGAGCCTGTGGGACACAAGTTGGACACCCCCAGGCTGAAGCTTTCACGTGCATTGGATCAGGTGGGATCCCAACCATGGTCTCTTGGTCTCCTCCCCTTTTATCACATGCTGCCTGGGGGTCCTGTTGCAGTCACCCGTGCCCTGTAACACCCACTCTGCTCCTCCAGGACATCTCACCGACAACCACCTCTCCGACTTCCTGAAGCGGTGCCGCGCCGGCCTGCGGCCCAACGGCATCGTGGTCATCAAGGACAACATGGCACAGGAGGGCGTGATCATGGACGATGTGGACAGCAGCGTCTGCCGGGACCTGGATGTCGTCCGTAAGATCATCCGCCGAGCTGGGCTGCACCTCCTGGCTGAGGAACGTCAGGAGAACTTCCCTGATGAGATCTACCACGTCTACACCTTCGCCATGAGATGAGGGCAGCTGGAGAAGGTCTCTCCGGGGCCAGCTCGGAGCATGGGCCAGCACGGTGGTTCCTGCTGGGGCAGGGAGGGGTGAGGACCATGCCTTCACTGTGGGGTGGCAGACAGCGGCGAGGGTGTCACAACTCCCACTCTCCGGGGCTGGTGACAAGGATGGGGCTTTGTCTTCCAAGTCGCTGCTGTTTGTGAAAAAGAGGTGTTTGCCAAATACATTTTCCTGCTGTTGCACTCCTGCACGTGGGCTTTGTCGGACGCAGTGTTGGCTTGATGCCACCTTTGGGGGCTCTGTACCGGAGCAAGAGGGTCTTCCCTGCCAGAGACACGCTCTGTGAGCACCAGCAGGTTGCTGAGACTGGTCACACAGGGCTCCTGTTGGTGAACAGGAGCTGGGACCACCTCTGTGAGGGTCAGGGATCCATTCCCCAGTTGGGTGCTTGACCCTTTCCTGCTCTTGAGCTCGGGGCTGCTCACAGCAACGAGATGGGCAAGGAAAATGGGAGAAGTCTCTGCCATTTCCCTGTGGTGGGTTGGGGAGACAACAGCAGGTTCTGGTGCTTTGTGGGGTCATCTCCTTCAATCCTATGAACAGGTCTCCCACATGGGCAGCAGAAAAGGAGGTGGATGTATGAGGTGGGCAAGGAAAATGGGAGAGGTCTCTGCCGTTTCTGTGGGTTGGGGAGACAACAGCAGGTTCTGGTGCTTTGTGGGGTCATCTCCTTCAATCCTATGAACAGGTCTCCCACATGGGCAGCAGAAAAGGAGGTGGATGTAATCCTGTAGCCCAACACAACTTGGCCAATGCTGGCACAACAACTTGCCAGGTGGGCAACCAGCCCCCAGCTGCAGCCTGTCCCTCCAGCCGGGCTCTCACCCCATCCCCACAGAGCCCTCTCCTCCACCCCATCCCTCCTGCAGAAGAAATAAGCCCCTTGCCATTATTATAAAAAGGCCTCGTTTAATTGCTCATTTCCCATTCCAGACACCAGGGGAGTATTTGATCACATTATTATATATATTTTTTTTTTTTAAACATCAATTCATCAAGATGCACAGCTCCAGTTCTGCAGGGTGGGAGAAGGTAAAACACAGGAAGGCAGTGGGGGGAGGAGACAACCCTTCTGCAGCCAAACTGCCAGTGGATCCCACATCCACCTGCTATAAACTGTACCTGCTCAGAATAGATTTATTTTTTTTTTTCCTTTTTTCACCCTCTTCTGCATCTGTCCCCCATGACAAACAGAAACCAAAACAACAAAAATGCAGGGAGGGCTCAGCTCTGCGGCCAGTCTTTGGCACATCACGGGGCAGCAGATGCCTAGAAGGGGAACCAGACAGCTGTGGCAAAGCTGGGATGAGGAACCTCCGTGTGCAGCCCCACAGTTTGTAGGCTCCAGTAGCAGGTTGGAAAGAAACCCCCCGAATCCTGCTGCAATTTCTTCTTCCTGGGAAGGAGGCACTGGAGACCAAGGTCCAAGGAATGGGGAGGGAGGCACAAGGCACTCAGCCGCCTGTTCCTCCTCCTCGTACGCATCATGAAGCCAAGAAGCATCCTTTCGTCTGTCTGTTTTGGAGCCCAGCACCTCCAAGGTGTCCTTGGCAGATAGGTCCTCTGTGCTGGGAGGATGGGGTGCTCCCAGTAGAAGCTCAGAGGGTGCCCAGCAGCCGGCCACCACTGCCAGCCCCCTTTCCCCTCACCCACATCACGCTCCTGGGTGCAGCAGCCTGCACGAGTGAGGAAAGTGTCCACATCCATGTGGAGATGCCAGGCCTGCCTCCACCATGTCTGCTTCCACCACCAGGACCAGAGGCAGCAAACCAAGAGATTGATGCCAGCACTCTCCTGGTGCAGGGAACACCTCCCAGCACCCCCAGGCATCTCAGGACTCACTGCAGGGCTGGAGAGAGAGGGGACAGGCTGCCCTGACAGGTCCAGTCACACCACCCCAACCGCCCCACTGGTCCTGCCCATCAGGCCCTTCCTTAAAATCCACACAAACCTCTGCCCAGGGGTTCTCTCCACCCCCTGGGAGCCACAGGGCTCTGCCCAGCTCCCCACCATGTGCCCCAGAGCAAAAAGGCCTCCACAGACGTGCATCAGCTTCATGCTCAAAAAAGCACCCCCACCCCCCAAAAATGCAGCAGAGACAGACACCGTGGGCAGCACTGGCCAAGCCGTGGGCATGTGGACAGTTCACCTTCTGCAAAGAAAACTGGCCCAGAGCAGAGGTTTGGTGGCTGTAGGCACACGATGACCATGGAGGGTGGGGATGGAGAGGCATTAGCCAGGCTCAGAGGTCCTCGTGCCCGGCAGCAGCGTGGTCAATGAGGAGGTACCACTTCAGCCTGTCTGGAAGAGGTAGAGCCTTGATTTTGACATCTACTGGCCACGGTTTAAGGCGCTGCCGGATAAACACCCTGCAGAGATGTTTCAGTGCCTGGGGGGAGCGCTCCAGCTGCTTCAGAGAGCAGAAAAGAGTCCTGATCTTCTCCCCGTGGTACCTACAGCTGCTGGTGTTGACCTCAAAGTTGCTGGGCAGCTGGATGGCCTGTGAACTGGCCATCATGAGCTCCAGCAGAGTCTGACCCTTCTGGATGAGGTCTGTAGAGAAGCTGTCATCTTCAGAGACACTGAGGTGCGAGCAGAGGCACTCGAAGACGATGTGGAAGCCCGACCAGCAGGAGGGACCATGGAGGGAGCAGTTGTAGGCAGCACCCGACTCCAGCAAGAATCGCAGCAGTGGGAAGTGGCGTTTGAAGCTTTTGAAGCAGAGGTGGGTGAGGGACTCGGGGGCCGGGCACTCGCTGGGGTTGGCACCGTGAGCCAGCAGCAGCTGCGTGACACGAAAGCAGAAACGGTTGATCACCTGTGCCTCCTCGGTGTTGCTGCACACCATCTCTCCCAGCAGGAAGATGACGTAGGTGAAGACAGTGTCTCCATCTTTGGTGGTGGCCCTGACGTCCGCACCTGGAGAAGGGGACAGAGAACATTGCAGACAACGAGGCCAGGACAGCACTAACTATGGCACTGCTGGGCTTTACTCTTCCTCAAGTAGGAACATAAAGGAGTTGAGAGGGTAGTGCTTAGTGCTTTAAAAAGAATCAGCCAGCACCAAGCCTGGAGGGTTTGCAGAGAGGGGAGAAGGTTGCCCTCACCTCCTTCCAACAGGAGACGGATGCTCTCGGTGTTGTGGATCTGGACACCATCACTGCTGGCCAGGGCGTGCAACAGCGCTGTCTTCCCTGCAACGGAGCAATCACTCAGTCAGATGGAAATAGGGAAATAGGTTAACACCCCAAAAGGCAGAAAGGACAACAATCCAACCCACCAACCAGACAGCCAAACATGAGAAGAGACAGCCCTTCTCCTTCTGGCAGCCTCCTGCTGTCCCTGTGGTGCTGCACAGCTGTGGGGACAGGGTGACACGCCACATGCACAGGGCTGGTGGTGTCCCCAGAGGGCACGTGTGCCACGAGTGGGTTTTAGAGCACATGAGCACCCAAGAATGTAAGGGCAGAGCCCCATCCCCTTTCCCACGGACTGCAGAGCTGGTTTCAGCCCCTGATGCAGCCAAGGTACAAGGAGAACACACAGAGCACCAGGGAGGTTCTGCAGCCTGCACCCAACTTCCACACCACTTTGTAATGAGACAGTATTTGCAGCAGCAAGATGGAAGGACCCAGATCCTGATCTTGCCCACCCACAAGGACCAACTGCCAGGAGCACCCAGGCTGGGGGAGCTGGACGGGGCACACGGACCATTTTTGTCAGCTGCGTTGACATCAGCCCCCAGCTGAAGCAGCCGCTGGAGGCACGGCACCCGCTCGGGCTCCTCGCTGGCCAGATCAAGGGGACTGCTCTCATGGATCTGCACAGACAAAGAGGAAAAAAAATCACCAGTAAGTATTAAAGACTATTTGTGAGTGCCTC